AGAGAGAGGGGAGGAGAGAGGGAAGGGAGGGAGAGAGGAGAAGACAGGGGAGGGAGGGAGAGCAAAATAAAGAGGAGGAGGGAGAGGGGAGGAAGTGGAGAGGAGGAGACCGTAGGAGAGAGGAAAGGAGAGAGCAGGAGAGACATAGAGAGGGTGAGAAAGAGGAGGAGAGAGGTGGGGAGAGAGAACGAGTGAGAGGTGAGAGAGGAGGAGAGGGGCAGAGAGGAGGAGGAGCATGAGTACCGCTGAGTAACAGCCTGGGAATGATGGTAGTCGTGCATGAGGAAACTAGAGAGCCGGGGTCTTACGCTGGCACAGGGGGTAGCTGAAGTAATCAGGGGCACACTGATCACAGGCGAAGCCCTGGTACCCAGGGTGGCAAACGGCCTGTCCCGTCACTGGGTCACACGCGCCATCCAGGCAGCCAGGCCCCTGGCACTGACAGACTGGGGGGGCGTTAAGACACAGAGACACCTCACTGCCGTGCAAACGGCGGCTTAACACATTTCATGCTCGCACCACAATCCCCCCCCCACCCACTTAATGGATCGTTCTGTGCAGAATATAAACGGGAGGCCTACATACTCTGGCAGCTGGGGCCGTGGAATCCGGGGGCGCAATGGTCGCACCGGGGGCTCGCAAAGCCCTCCTTACAGACGCAGGCGCCTGTGTGGGGGTCCGCCCGGCACGTGTGGTCCTCGGTGCCGGCGGGGTTGCAGTCGCAATCTGGGGAAGCAAGACAGCAGACGGCCAGCTACTTCAAATGCCTGGCCAGCAGAGGGCGACACTGTCCAAGCTCCCCTTCCCCTCTAGGCACATGATTGGCTTACGTATGATGTGACTCGCGGGGAGGACCTCGTCTTTCCCATTGTTGGGATAAGGAGGGGCGGCTGTAGGTGAAGCAAAACAAGGTGATTATGAGGAGTCAGCAGGCTGGGCTCCAGGTTATAGGGGGCGGGGTTAAAGTTAAGGGGCGGAGCTGACATTAAGGAGGCGGCCCAGATGGCAGACTTACGGAGACACTGGGGGAAATCGAGGTAGCCCTCGGCACAGGAATCACAGTTTTCGCCCGTGTAGTTGGGCTTACAGTAGCAGCGGCCAGTCAGATCTTCACAGGTGCCGTCCGTGAAGTCCGATTGGCAGTCACAAGCTGGGGGGCGGGCAGAGGGGCGGCGGCCCGGTCTTAGAGACAGCCCAGAGGCGCTAACATGGGCCAGTATTACCCGGAGGGGGTGAGCGAGCAATGATAGGGGAGAATGGCAGCCACAAGGGCGGCCACAAGGGCGGCGTCACTCACGCGCGCAGGCCCACGGTGAGTCCAACGGGTGCTCAGGGGACCGATAGTATCCGGAAACGCAGCGGTCGCAGTTGATCCCCATAGTATGGTGCTGTGCGAGGAACCAGACAAAATGTTTCACTTAATGGAAAAATAAATAAATAAAAAACACCCGTTACCCTGCTGTACCACCCAACCGTCTCCATTACCCACAATACTTTCCATCCGCCTATCTACACAATACTCCATTACCCCACCGCGGGTCAGACCCACCTGACTGTCCCGGCACACCCAGCCCCCCCAGCGGGTCAGACCCACCTGACAGTCCCGGCAGACTCCGCCCCCCTGCGGGTCAGACCCACCTGACAGTCCCAACAGACTCCGCCCCCCAGCGGGTCAGACCCACCTGACAGTCCCGGCAGACTCCGCCGCCCCGCGGGTCAGACCCACCTGACAGTCCCGGCAGACTCCGCCCCCCCTGCGGGTCAGACCCACCTGATAGTCCCGGCAGACTCCGCCCCCCAGCGGGTCAGACCCACCTGACAGTCCCGGCAGACTCCGCCCCCCCTGCGGGTCAGACACTCCTGACAGTTCCGGCAGACTCTGCCCCCCAACAGGTCAGACCCACCTGACAGTCCCGGCAGACTCCGCCCCCCCGCGGCTCCCCCTGCAGGTTGATGCTGGCTCGCTGCCGGTCCACCTCCGCGTCGAAGTGACAGTCATATGCATGCCCGTTACAGTTACAAGCTGCAGGAGAGGAGGCAGAGAGAGAGAGAGAGAGAGAGAGAGAGAGAGAGAAATGCTTTAAACATTTAATTTACATTACATACATACTATATATGTGGTATATACATACACACACACACATATACCCAGGAAACAAGCAGGCAGCAGGGGCCACAGATAGAGGGAGGGGAGAAGGAGAGAAGCGGAATGTGGGATGAAGAGGGTCTCGAGCTTAAAGAGAGGCGGCCCCTCTGAACGCGATACCACGTGACTCCAATCCCCGCCATGTGACCCAAACCCCTGCCGGGGGCCGCCTCGGCAATCACGTGCCTTGGGGTGTGTTCAGGCGACACGGCGCTTAAGATAAACCCGTACGCAGACACGCACCGCCCTCCACTTTAAGGTAAGTGAAGGCTAATCGTTTTTGGACTCATTTCAAAGCCTCTCGTCCACTGACAGCCGCGGGGGAGGGGGGGGTCTGGTGACAAAGAAGTTTGTTTCTGTGGGGGTGTTGACACCTCGATTGAGGGTATAGGGTTTCACATAATGCTGGGAGGGTTAGGGTCTCAGACGAGGCCTACTGCGTCTATACGTTTCACGGAATAGAGTTCTCAACATTAGGCCTACTTTGGTCCAAGCCTGAAGGAAAAAAAAATCTTTATTCATAAAGTGATGACCTTACAGAGCATTCGGTTGTTTTATATTGCTGTGAACAAATACAAAAAAGTACAGAAACAGTTGTCAACAGTGATGTGCCCTCTTATGGAAAAGTTCAGAAAGTCTAGGACGCGTTACTCTCGAATTCAGGGATTAGTTAAACTAATACCTTCAGGACACCTGTTTCCATAGCAACAGATGAGGAACACAAAGGGCTAAAAATTTGAGTCTCGCGTGCACGGGTGTAACGGAGACTTCCAGAAAGGACTCACGTTCGCATTCATTGGCGCTGTCGGTGGTTGCCGGTCGCCATGGCATCTGGTTGAATCCGGGGCAACACTGGTCACATGATGGGCCACACGTGTTGTGTTGGCAGTCACACTGCAGCCTGGGACGGGCCAGAGAACGCCGCTGGGGTTAGCATACGCTAAACACACAAGACGACTCTTTCATTTAACTGATACTCTAATCCAAAGCAACATGCATTTGGTGAAACAGGGTCAGCCCGTCCCTGGAGCAATTGGGGGCTAAGGGTCTCACTCAAGGAGAAACTGTACTGCCGACCCTGAGATTTGGTCCAACAACCTTCTGATCACAGGCCTAGTGACCGAAACCACTGAGCTACACATCACCCCAACATCAAGCTGACAGCCAAGCGTGACAGGGCATTAACCCCAGAAACCTTCCCCGTGGTGAAATTACCCTAATCCTCTACGAGGGATCCCCCTCTGTCTATGCCCCTCCCCCCAGCCTGGTTCAGTTACCTGCCTGTAATGCCTAACTGCCTCCATTACCCACAATCCCTCAGCCCCAGGTGACCTGACACAGAGATCTGGCCTGTATCCGCCTGCAAAGTCTAGGGCTCGAGTCAGGCGCTTTGAGAACGTGCGACTTATTCCCAGGAATGACATACAGGCGTGTGTGTGCAATCAAAGCGGAAATGTATCTCTTTGAAGGCACGAGCCACCTTCTGTGACCTTCCAGTCACCATATACAGATGAAGTCCATCAACCGAGTCCCTTGGCTAGAATTTTACGAGTTATAACTGTATGGGCCTCTCTGCCTTCCTCACTCACTGACACACACACACACACACACACACACACAAGCAGGAAACAGGAAACATTCATTACACTTCACACAGAGACTTATACACAAATAAAGGAAACCCCCATAAGTGTTTCGAAGGATCACCGATGACCTCGGCAGCGATGTGTAAAATTGAAACAATTTCCCCCCCAAATCGCAGACAAACGGCCGGTCTCCGCAGCCTGCTTTGTGTCACACTGATCGCTATTCTAACGAAAGTCACAGACTGTCAGAGACCTGGGACCCGTCACCATCTGTCACCTGACACCCTGTGCAGGTCAGCGTCCGGGAAACGGCCCGCCGGGGGCCTGATCGCCCGTAAGCCACAGGATCCTGCAGCACACTCCCTATGGCTCTTATCCTCTTCCATCCCTCATTCTTTTCTGCTTTTCATGTCCCCCCACCCTGATCCATCTCCAGATGAATCACACTCTGTGTGCTTATCTTCCAGAAGCTTCCGTCCGCTTATCTATCAAATGCCCTTCACTTTTCCCCGTTGAGCATTTGGTATCCTTTCTTATTTTCCCTCTTCCTCCCCCACCGATTCAAATGATGTCATTTCCTGTTTCTTAGGCTTTCAGCATCGAGGACCCCAGGAGACGAGACTGACAAAACCCTACATACCCTAATTACGATTTCGCTCTGTATTCCAGATTTATTAAATCCCTACACCTTTACCCCAAGTGTGATTTATTTATTTACATCCACACGGATAATGTTAAGCAGTAATAGCTAGCTAGACATTAATAAGTAATGGCTAAATCAAGCTGAGCATTGCAATCAGAGAATCCGTGGCCTGTGAAGAGGCAGTTCTGTCGCTCACCTGTAGGGGTTGTTGGGGTCCTTGGCGTTGCAGGCATCTGCGTGCCCGTTGCACACGCACCGGCCACCAATGCTGATGTCCTTGATGCTGTAGTAATACTGCAGTGGGCAAAGAGGGATCAGTCACCGTGATTTTGGTGCAAGGACTACGGCAAGTCTTAACGGTTTATGAAATAATCCCGGCCAACATCAGACATAGTGGTCCTGATCTGGGTCGGGCCAAGCTGAAGCGGAAGGTGTGGCCCGATCAGCAGGGACAGAATAGCATGTTTGCAGTCAATGGTCAAAGGTGAAGCTCGTGTGAGGAACAAACGTGTCCATCGGCCAGTGCTTCTGGGGACGGGGTTGTCGTTTTTGGGGCCCCAATCAGAAAGTTACTTTGGGCCGCCCCTAACCCCCCCCCGACTCAGATGTCTCAGAAACTAAATAAATAGCCAGTGGAGTAGTCAGAAGATCATAGCTAGCTAGCTAGTTAGCAGAACGCGCCGTTTCAGCATCTCCTAAATAAGGAAGGTTTTTATTTAATACTGTGGGCGGCCGTGGTGTAAATGCTGGTAAACTCCGCCGCTGGATGCTTCTACACGAGGCAGTTGCTAATCTCCGGCACCCAACCTCCGGAAGGTTGTTTTAGGCCGACGGGAGATGCCCACCCTGCGTGTGACGGTCGGGTCGCGCAGCGCCTTGCCCATGAGGTGTCCCAGCAGGGTGTTGGTGCGTAGGAAGCGCAGGCGGATGTTGGTGGCCTTGGTGAAGTCCCTCAGCACGGGTGAGTAAGAGAAGTTCATAGCCCCCGGACGCCCGTTCACCAGGGAGACAACGATCTGCCGTCACGGAAACATGGGATTAACTGAGGCCCACGCGCCACACCCCGAAACGTCAGCAAGCCCGGAGGCAAAGTGACGCGACTTCACACATCTTCCAAGCTTAACAGTATTACGGAGACCGAATACACAAACGTCTAAGTGCCGTAAGTGTCCATGTATACGCACCTCCCCATTTTCCAGAGGGACGATGCGCGAGTATTCAGTCGTGCAGATGACATCGTTGTCCTTGTTGATACGCTGGATTGTTCTCTGACCGAAGCGCTCAATGCAGTCCCGTTTGGAAGCTGATCCAGGGCAAAAACAGACAAGAAACATCTGCTAATCTATGCTGAACATAAACAGAAGTATAATAATAATAAATCATTGCTAGAATGTTTCAATTGTATTTATACACAGATACTCCGAACATAACAATGTGATTTCAAATCTCCAGTCGACATAATCACACACTCCGGGGTATTGTGGAACTGTAAATAATGGCTCAGTTTAATTATCACCGACTTGTCTTTGGAATCGTTAGCTATTTATGGAAACTAAAGCCAGTGTTTTCATTGGGGACATTAAGCGATAGCTGGCAGATGACTTGCCAGCTCTTCTCAGAGAATAAGCAGCATCTTAAATGTTAAGGGAGAGTCCTGCTTAGGCAACACGGATTCGAAATCCCTCAACCTGGGGCGACACTGAGCATTTAGACACGGAAGCAGACGAGAAGAGATCAGAGCGAGAGCCGCTAACCGCTAAAGACCACAGGCGAACGCGGCAACTTCCCCGCGAAGTGCTTGCTGCTTCTCACGGTGTGGTGTGCATTCCTGAGAGAGTCACTGTGACAGACGGGCAGGGGGGGGGGGATGACAAACAGCGTGGGAGCCACAGCTCAGAGTCAGGCTTCGGCCTTCGGCCTTCAGGTCCCCCCCCCCGGACGCTCCCGGCCACCTGCCCTTATCTCCTGGCCCAAACCCCCACACACAGGCATGCTGTGACCTTCCCGGGGGGGGGGGCGGAGTGCTGCTGCACTGGCAGCCTGGACGATCGGGGTCAGGGGGGGTGACTTTCCAAGTTCTGGGTTACAAAGCGATCCCCGCGCACTGGATCCAGCAACCCGCCGCCGTCGTGCCCTTGAGAGGCTGTACTGCTGCCATTGTTCGCCGTCTCCGTCGGCGTGTATCGAGTGACACCTGATTTAATGCAGGAATGCAGCGGCTGCGTTTGTGCTACAAGCACAGAGAGGATCTGCTTATGGGGGGGGGGGCATGCAGACAGTGTCTCACTGGGGCCTGCTCTCTGCTTCGAAGGAACTGGGACAGATGACTGGAATATTTTACCCTCACGCTGGGGCTGACAGCTTCAACACAGACACACAGACAAAGACACACAGACGCACAGGTTAATGATTACATCTTTGTGGGGACTCTCCATTCATTTCTATGGGGAAATCTCTAATCCTAACATGATGACCTTAACCATAAGTAACCAAACTAAATACAAGACAAGACATATGGCTGTGTTAGTGAGGCTAATATTGTGGGAACCTGAAGAATGTACCTATAAGCTAAAAAGTAACAGGGGACATTTACTCCCCGCAATGTGGTAAAGACAAAGACAGACAGACAGACACTAACACAAACAGATACAGACACAATGACGCAGACCATAAACAGCCCCCCCACACAGGCACAGTCTGCATGCCTTCACACGCACATGGGCACATGATAAATTACACACAAACACGCAGGCAGACCCTCACAAAGTCACATACACAGTACAGGGTAAACAAAACACAGGGCCACACCTTTACATTACTGAGCGAGTTTATCGAACAGGTAAAGCCAAGTGTGTTTGCATTCTACTCTTTCCCAACAATCCAAACATTTTCTGAAAGGCCAAACACGTCATCAGTAAAAGCACAGCCTGATCTGGGATCTCCCCGGAAACAGGGACGTGGTGAAACTGCACGGGACTTCAAACCAGCTTAAATACCACGAACGTCGTCCAGAGCCTGAACCTGTGAGCTGAAAGTCCTCCATGGAAAAACATGAGTCACTCGTGAAAAGCAAAAAAGTTATGATTTTTGTAAATGAGATCTTCAAGAATTTAGGAATTCAAGACACTCTGCAATTTTCTTTGGGATTAATAAGCCATCCATCCATCGACAAACAGATTGATCAGCTCAAGCTCTTTATTTTTGCATCATCCCCCCCAACCACATCCCCAGGGATTCCCGGCTACATCAGCAAGGGCTACCATCACGGCCGGCAGATCAAGGGCGCTCACGGTACTCACAGGCGAAGTACTGCCAAGGCTGATAATTCTCCCCGAAGTCGACGGAGCGCTCCAGCACCCAGAGGTCCGGCCGGGGGGAGTTGGCAAACTTCACGAGAACGTAGGCGACGTGGAATAGCTGTGGGGGCAGACAGGAAAAATGTCACGCAGTGAGGACCAAGGGGCCGAGGAGGTGGCCCGCCTGCGTCAGTTACGGAAAGGAAGTGTGGAAGTTGGGGGCTATGTAACACAGTGGGGTAGGGTTCTGCGCCCCCGGAGGGTTGTGGGTTTGAATCCCATGGCTGGAAGAGTAATCATATGACTGACAGGGTGCTGATGTTGACTGCCATTGTTCTCTTTGACCCCAATGTTTCATGACTTCTACATGACTTTGGACAAAAGTATCTACAAAATACATATTTATATAGAAACAGGAAAGTAAAATTACTGTAACATTAATCAAAAGTGTTACATACATTGCTTCCCGTACCGATGAGTGCCCGAGCGGGGACACCCCCGTAACCTTATATACCCCAGAGTGGGGACACCCCCGTAAGGCCCGCACTGAATTCCCACAGCGCCTCAGTGATTTACACCTGCTCATCAAGGACACACTGCGCGTTCCCAGTATCGTCCTGCTCTCCACCAAGTGCGCCCCTTAGTGGCCAGCGCCGAGCTCTGCAAGGGACAAGCCGGAGGCTCCACTCGTATGCAGACGCTAGGAGGTCAGAGGTCACTTGGGGATTGCGGCAGGATAGCCAGATGTTAGAGGCCTTCTGCATGCGATTAGTCAAGCTGAGAGCGACAGACATCACAAATCAACCCCAGCCCCCCAACCCAGGGCAGTCACTGGCAAGTAAAGCACTCCTGTAAATCTCAGTTCATTCAACACCCCTGCGGTCTGCCACATTATAAACACCCGGGGGTGCTCTAGTCAGCTGTTGGGGGGGCATCTCCATCCCACTGCTGGCTAGGGAGGCAGGAAGGGGGGGGGGCTGTTTAAATCTACTTACCTATTAAGGTATTTCTTACCACTATGGACCAGAAATATCATCCCTATATACAGAACATCCGAACATTCATTACTCCACTGTACAACTCACCATGGAAGACAATTCATTACTGAGTCGTTACTATGGAGTTCTGCACAATATTTTATTTGAGATTCTCTGCACTGTTACTGTTTATTGTTACTGTTTATTGTTACTGTTTATTAGTGTCTAAACATCTTTTTTTTTACTGTCTAAATGTTTGTGTGTGTTCTGCTACTGTAAACCTGCAGTTTACTTCAGGATTAATAAAGTCTGTCTGTCTGTCTACATAAAAGAGCTCTTCAGGTAAGCACAGGAATGGAGTATTTAAAATAGCAATGAAGAATAATAAACACTGACCACGCTCACCTTTGTGAATTTAACAGATGTTTATAGGATCATTCTAATCCAACCGTGCGAAAGGGTCCCGGGGACATTTAGTTCCGTTTTGAGGTTTAAGTCTTTAGCTAAAGTACCGTTTCTAGAAAACATCAGGAGGCCATGAGACACATATCCCCCCCTGGGGAGGGGCACCCATGAACGTGGCTTCAATGTTAGATAAAGAATGTTCTGGAATCATTTGAGAAACGTTTGCAGGTTTCTCCAGCCAAAGGCAGGTGTGCTGGAGATGATGATGGAGATGGAAGTGAGAAGGAAAGGCTTATCGTTCCTCTGTGACCGGTGACTCTCAGACGGAAACCCGGGCGAGTTGCACGATTCCCCTGTAAAAGGTAGGGGAGCGCAATTACACACTTTGTGCAGGTGTGCGACGCGTTTATCCAGATAAACAGCCGTGTCCTTTGAACATCTTACGAATGACATGCTTGTTTTACCTCGGGCTATAAACAAACACACTACCGGCATGGTGTAGATGATGGGGTCATCATTCATAAACGTGATTTTCAGAGGGAGCGGGGAGCTGCAGAATGCGGGGGGAGCACAGTGCAGCCCCCCAGTCCGATTCATGGCTGGCTTACGAAGACATTTTACACAATTTTTTATTTTTATTTTTTAAAAAGCATTATTCCAAGTATAAGGTACTGAAACTTCGTCTGACTTAATGGTCCCACTTTACAGGCATCACTTGGCAATTCTATACATGCTACTCATATATAACTTTTTTTTCCATTTCTGAATATTTTTTCACACCATTTTAAATAGACAGCTTTATAGACCAAAACCGCAGTCGAGATCCCAAAACATCCAGCGCGCTCCCGGCAAGGACGCAACATCATTCCCTGCAGTGAAACAGCTCTATCAGACCGGATTTAACTGGATACTGCAGCCATGTGGTGATTGAGGCCCCGCCCACAGCAATGCCCCACCCACAGCAATGCCACAGGCGCTGCAATTTGTCACATGGTCTCTGCCAGGAGCGGATCAGAGAAGATTGTAAAACTTAGGGGCACAAACAGCTCAAGATACAAAGTATGCACAAGAAACTGAGCCTGAGGTCACGTTTCAGCGTGTCAAACTTTCCTTGTCTTTTTTAAAAGCATTTTCTAAATTCCTCCAGTGGTGGACCGCAGGCTGCATCTGAACAAGGGCGGGTGACATAATGTCAAGTCCACTTATCCGTTTGCTTTTGGATCAGATGTAACTTGAGCTTTAATTATAAAAGTTTTATCAGTCTGCATTAAATTATTTGTAGGTGATTTTGTTGTGTCACTTTATCACTTCATTCTCAATTATGTTCCAAAATCAAACCCGGGCATGGGACCTGGTTGGCCCCGCCCTGTTCTGCAGTCCAGACCCCGCCCCCCCCCACCCACTCACTTTAAACCTCAGAACGGCAGCCAAGTGGCTCCTTTCACTTAATTAGCTTAATAATTAGCCAGCGGCTTCGGCTTTCACATGCGGGAGAGATAAGGGGACCGGGGGGCTGCCTGGGGAAATCAGTGAACCCGTGACCCCGACCCAGCGGGTCAGCTCAGGTCCTGACGCGTCTCCGTCTGCGGGTACCGGCAGGTCTGAGGGTCGGGTCCCAGGGGGTGGGGACAGCTCACACTGACCACGGGAGGCTGGATGCTTTAACGACGTCACTCCACCCGTAGTGCGGAGAGTCATGTGACCAGAGCCCCATGGTTGCACTAAACCCCCCTCTACCCCACTTTCCCAGAGATCCGTTAATCCCGAAGCATCTCAGACTGTCGTCGTCGTCCCCCCCCCCCCCCCCGACGGAGCCAGGGGACACTGAGACCAGCTGTAAGGGGACGCGGCACAGCTGTGGCCATCAGTACACCAGGTGGGTGGTGGGTGCATGCCTTGCAGCATGTGCTATCCGTCTGACTGAGTCCAGACACCAACCCCCGTGCAGAAATACTACAGAGGACTGAACTGACTCCCTCTGTCGACAGGCCATGGACACCTATCCCCCCCAAGGGAGATTTTAATGAATTGCTTGGTTTGTCACTAGCAGATAGCGTGACCTTGAATCGCAGATCTCCTCAAGGCAAGTCTGAAAAAAAATAACCCCCCACTCTATCTGTGGGCAGGGGGGGCGGGGGGGTTAGGTAGATTCTTTTAAGCAGTTTTTATCCAAAATGATGAACATTTTTGAGAAAGTTTTGGATAAGTTGGGGGTTAAGGGTCTTGCTCAAGAACTTAGTGGTGACATCACTCTGCTGGCCCTGGGATTTGAACTGGTGACCTTCCGATCATATGCATGGCGTCATAACCCACTGAGCCACATATACCACCCCGCCGTACTGCCATTCTGCCTGCAGGGGGCCCTATGCAGGAGGCATTGGGAAGGGCCCTATGCAGGAGGCATTGGGAAGTGTGGTGCTTCACTGCAGCGCGGTGGGTCCCTGCGGTCTATGCATCCAGACGCCCCTGTGACAGTCATGGCAGCAAATTGAACACGGGATTCTGATTCCGTCTGATCGCCTTCCCTGCTCCACTCGAGCCTTGCGGCTTTCAAAACTGTCGGATGACTGGCTGCCGAGGAGGATGGGGCAAGGAGGTGTGGGGTTCAAGCACCCCCCACAGGACAGGAAGGGCCACAGACGGAGAGGATCGGACTTGACCGCAGAAACACGACCGCCTGAGGGTTATCTGAGGGTTAACTGGGGTTAGGTTTAGGGTTAGGGTTAGGGATGGGACTGGACTGCTTACTGCATTTCGAAACTCTGGGCTGCTGGAAAATGCTTTTGGATATTGGGCAGGCCGAGTGGGGGGGGGGGGGGTGCAGTGAGGGGGTGCTATCCAGGGAGATGTTCAGTCAAGAACATCCAATTAGCTAAGCCTGGGGAAGTCGACTCCCCAGCCAAAAAAAACAACGATAAGAAAAAAAACATCTCTGAAACACCCCCGTGTGTGATGCCGTGTTTGTGATCATGGAAAGACGCGTCCACCCAAACGGGAAATCGTGGGATTCAGGAACGCCGGCATCCTCCCCTTTCTCCAAGAAGCAAGGAGCCCAAACAGCCTCACATCGCTCCCCCGCTTAGGGGACTTCAATTTTCTAACCATTTCTAATTCTCTGAGAAATTCGTAACCAACCCCCCCCCACCTTCTGCTTGCAGTGGGCCGCTCTGAATTTGACACTCACACCAACATAATTGCAGGGTAGGATGCATGGGGATCTTTGCCCTGGTGTGATGGTCTTGGGCAGCGCCAACACACCGCGAGCCGCGGAAACGGCCGACATCACGCGTGACATTACATCATGCTCAACTTGGGAGTGAATATTCGAGCATCTGAAAAGGACCCGGGTGGGGGGGGTGATTTTTAAGGATCGTTTAAAGGTTTTTTCCTGTCAAAATGTGTTACTGTAAACCTACTACACCCTTCGCGATTATTTGATCGTGAATAGTTTTAAAGACACTGCTATGTTTACCGCTTAATAAACGAGTGAGAATTAAACTGACGCAAGGGGAATTTTCACTTTCACTAGGAGAGTGAGACGAGTGTGAGGAGGGGGGTGTCTGGAGCACCGGGGGGGGGAGGGGGGTGTGCTCAGCAGTGATAAGGCCGCTATCAGCTGAGATAGTCTCAGCCCTCCTGATATGCCACCCCGCCCCCCAGCCCTGACGGGAGACCCCAACCTCCAGGAGACACAGGAACAGGCCACGTTGTTAGGGCACCTCCTACAGGAGGGGCGGAG